GGATTAGGGATAATTAGGTTTATAAATATAGGGGTATTGTACACTTTTTAATCAATCAATCATATATCAATACAAAGCAAGATTATTCCAATATAATTCTTATTTTCAATACTTATTACAAGAATTTCTAAACGCTTCCGCACCATCTAGTTAGGTTCTTCTTATGCTTTGTCATTCAATATTTCCTCACATGCATTATTTTCTAGATGTTAGTACCTTCCAATAAAAAATACATTTTTAAAAAAAATAAAGTTGCATAATCTTTTGTTTTTATGCATCCTCAAGTATAATAGGTCTTATTTGTTACATCATACCATCATAGGATGTCATAAATGAGAACAAGTCATGCTTTTAATCCTTCAAGATTGTTTTTGATGTTGAAACAGTTTTTTTTTCAAATTCTTGTTGCATCCAAAAATTGATAATGTTAAATTCTCGGCGTCGAGAGAGATTTGAGATTCTGTAAGTAACTCAGTGAGTACTTTCTAAGACTTGAAAATTTATCAACATAATCATTTCATTATTTCCTTTTTGAAAAAGAACTGCTTTCTGAAAAGATTTTAAGTTCAATTCTTTTTTTTCTCTCTCCACTCCTCTTCCCCATTACTTAGAAAAAGGGAGCCACTGGTGAAAGATTCCATTGAATTGAATTGGGTCAAGGAATCAGGACACCCTAAAGCGCTCATGGTATCATTATGAATATATTTGTGTATTGATCTTTTTTGGAAAGGGAGAGTGTGTGAATAAAAAAGTATTTTTGATCAAATTAATTTATAATATAATCTTTGCCAAACATGCACTACATCTTATGCTTGTGACTGCTCCATCATACATATTTTTAATAAATATGTCATTATTTCTAGCGCCCACCATAGCAGTTTGTTGCATAGCCTACCACAGGCATTTTATAAATCAGTAAAACCATATGGGATCTTTTTCCTTCTTCTCTGTCCATCTCCACTTCTAAGTATTTAGCCTCTATTGTAGATCCTCTGTAGCATGAAGTTTATTCTAATACCTTTGAATTACACTTTAGTCTATGTTCAATGATTCATTTGTATAATTTCATATTATGACTTGTGACTCTTCAGCCATTGTCCATCTCTTTAGATTTTGAAAATTTTGTTTAATCCATAAAGTACCTCTCACCCCCAGACACCCAATTCGTCTACAGGAGTTCCGTCTGGGTCAATTATTTTACTCGTCTTCTTCCTCTTCACAGCCTCCCTGACTTTCAAGACTTGAGTTCTTTTTATATATATATATTTAACATTCATATCTACAGCGAGGGTTGGAAAATCTCCAATATCCACACTATGCCTTTCGTTAAGTAATTTATCCAAATAATTCTTCTGTGTCAGTAATCTCACTTCTTCGAGATAAAGCTCTGTTTTCATTTATATTAATTGACTCATTTTATTATCTACTTGGTACATTATGAAACCATAAAAATGGTTTTACAATATATGAGATAATTCTGGAATCAACATTTATGTTTGTTGCTGATTTATCTTCTCCTATGTTTTACAGGTGGCTGTGACCCTCTCTACCTTGTCATTTTTTTGTCGTAGGCCCACTATACTTGCCATCATGGAGTTTGCGAATTCTATTAACACTCAGGAAGAAAGCTGTGAATCTTTCAGTGATGCTTCCTCTTCGGCAGTTGCTTCAAATGATATGTCCAAGGAGAATATGCACGATGGTCAGTCAGCTGCAGTTGAGGAGCCTGTAGTCAAATCTTTGTTGGGAAAGGGAAAATCTAGAGTTGTTTTCTATTTAAAGTTGAATATGGCTCGTGCTGAGATTTTGTTGATGAAGGAAAATGGCTCTAAGCTTGCTACTTTATCTCAAGATAATTTTCTTACTGAAATTAAGGTGCAATACACTTCTTTTCCATATTGAGTTTAGCACATTATACTTACCTGAATCTGAAATTATTCATTTTCTCCATTTCTTAGGTGTTTCCTTCCTCTTTTAGTATAAAGGCATCCCTCGGAAATCTTAGAATAAGTGATGACAGTCTTTATAGCAATCATATGTATTTCTGGGCATGTGACATGAGGAATCCGGGTGGAAATTCATTTGTGGAGGTATTTTACATCTGTTTGTTCTACTCTTAGCCTCCAGCTTATCATCTTACTCGTTGGGTTAACTCTAAAAGTTCGTCAATTATTTTAATTGCACGACATTCAGGTTAATAGGGACTCACGGTAACCTATCTTTTTTGTTCAGAAACTTATTATTAGGGATTCAGCTTCTCATCTGTATGGTAGGTTTAACTCTAAAAATTTCCTAGTTATATTATTTCCACAGAAAGTTGAGCAATCCATGTGAATTGGGAATCAGTATCTTCTTCAATTTGAGCTATTCTGGCTCCTTTTTTCTTCATAAATTAACCTTAACGGTTAAAAACTAATGTATATAAAGCTGTCATGTGGAACATGTCTAGTCCTTTATAGTTTGACATTATTAACAATATATCTTATGGCATTACATTGTACCTGATACGTGAAAAAGATACTATTAATAATATATGCTCTGTGATAACGCTTAGCAGAGATGTAATGGAGAAGAATTGATGTTAAGGTTATATTTTTTGCAGATTAGTTCTTTTATATTTGAAATTCTTCCATGTGCATTTTCTGCTGAGTTATTTTTGAGTTAAGATCGGTGATGCTCTCTCTTAGTAACTTGCAAAAATTTGCTGTGAATATGCAGTTGGTATTTTGTTCATTTAGTGCTGATGATGAAGACTACGAGGGTTATGATTATAGCCTTTGTGGGCAGCTGTCGGAAGTGCGCATCGTTTATTTGAATCGTTTCCTTCAAGAGGTCTTGCACTTTTTGGTTCTCCATTGCCTATTTCTCTGTCATGAGTGTATATGCAGCGCACAGACATTAATTTTAATATTACTTGCAGGTTATCGGTTACTTCATGGGTCTTGTTCCTAGTAATCCAAAGGATGTTGCCAGAATGAAAGATCAAGTGACAAACTCAGAGAAGTGGTTTACAAAAAGTGAAATTGAAGGCTCACCTGCATTGAAGTTGGATCTTTCCCTTAAAAAGCCAATCATATTAATGCCTCGGAGAACAGATAGCCTTGAGTGAGTTTAACATTTTCATCTAAGGGATACATGCAAAGCAGTTAAATAACTATTTGAATTATTGTAGTGAACCTCTTTCATTCTTTGATTTTTGCAGTTATTTAAAGCTTGATGTAGTTCAAATTACTGTCCAGAACACCTTTAGATGGATTGGAGGGAGCAAAAGTGAAGTTCAGGCTGTACATGTGGACATATTACAAATTCTTGTAAGATACTTTTATACCCTGATGTTACTTCCTAGCTGTACTGAAAAGCGGAGGAACTGACCATGTGGCTTGGCCTCAAGAATCAACATCTTTGGCTTTATATTTCTTACGAATCTTTCTCATCAATTTGTCCTCAAGTTAGCCAATGAAAAATGTTACCTAAAATGCCGTATAATTTCAATTTGCTGATTTGGATAAAAAGTGGATAATTTATTATATATTTTTTTCTAATCAAATATACATGCCATATTGTAGGTTGAAGATATCAATTTAAATATTGGCTTGGGATCAGAATTGGGTGAAAGCATAATACAAGACGTCAAGGGTGTTTTTATAGTCATTCGTAGGTCACTTCGCGACTTGTTGCATCAAATTCCCAGTACAGAAGTTTCTATTAAGGTATTGTACCACAAACTGCAAAGAGCTTATAGCATCAAGATCTCTCCTCATTTTCTTTCCTTTGTTGGGGTATGGGTTGTTTGATGGTGCCCTTTTTCTATATATAGTGTTTCAATTCGATTACACAATTTCTTTTGTAAGAGCTGCTCGATTAGAGATCTCTCCCACTTCTTTAGAGGGAGCAGTGGATATTGGATGGAGCCTATCTTTTGTAGAATCTTTCAGTTTCATTTTTTTCTGTTAATCAATTTCTTCACCTACTTAGTTGTGCTATATCTATTTTTATCTGCTGATAACTTGAATTTTTTAAAATTTCAGATTGAAGAACTGAAAGCTGCTTTATCTAACAAAGAGTATGAAATAATAACAGAATGTGCACAAACTAATATTTCAGAGACTCCAAATATTATCCCTCCTTTGAAAGATGAGCCCTCATCGCTTTCAGTTGATGTGTCAGGACAAGTCATTTCTCGAGTTTTAGATTCTACTAAATCAGGAACTCAATACAGGGAAACATGGATTGCCACTAAGGTTTCTGTTGATATAGATTTGGTTGAACTCTCTCTTCACTATGGGGTTACGAGGGATGCCTCTCTTGCCACCGTGCAGGTAGTAAAACATATCATTTTCTTTAGTTGTTTTTCAATGCTATAATTGGTTATAAAATAAGAAGAGTGAGAGAATAGGGTCGAGTCTTAAAAAGAGGAGCGTGGTCAACATTTAGCAAAACTATATTTGTTTTAAAAAGTGCCCGGGTGCCCTAGATATTTTATTTGTAATCTTCATCATTGTTCTTGAGGCACAAAAAACCATACAGCACGATAGAGTGTGCTTTTTAAAACTTTTGGCATATCTCAGTCGTCTTTTCTATGAACCATGGGTGTCCTAGTTTGTTTCTTTATGTCTGATAAAATTGGATCATTTTTCTGAAATGCACAATCTTATTGTGGCGCCAATTCTGTGCTACTTGCTTAAATTAATGGTGGCATCAATGGCTATCTGCTGAAACTTACTGAAAATTAGTTTTTCTTAGTTTCACTCAACTTTCTGAAAATTGGTCATATTGATGGTAAAATTCAAAATTCTCACATTTGCATTTTAGCCTTAGGAGTCCTAATATTTTGCCTTTCAATTATGAGCAAGAACAGATGCTATCAAATATGATGTTCTTGACCTTGATTTTACATTACCGGGCTAGATTGCCAAATTGTTCTGTATAGTACAAAGGCTTGTGATCCCACTTAATTTCTAACTGGTTAAACTGTGGTCCACTTTCACACGGTAGATGGTTTTTACTTTGCTTCTGTTAAAGTTGTAACTTGCAGTAGTCGCAGAATTATATGTTTATACCTCATATACTTCATAAAACGGTTTTGTTTTCATGAAATCTAACTGCTTAGAAATCATTAATCTGTCCCTCTTATTATTGATTATTTTGTTGCATTTTTGATAAAAAAAAATTTCATCTCTCTTGCATTGCTACATTTTTTAATCACCTCAGTCTAATGAGATTTTGTCATTCAGGTGAGTGGTGTATGGCTTCTGTACAAATCTAATACAATTGGGGAAGGTTTTCTATCAGCTACACTGAAGGATTTTACTGTAATTGATGATCGTGAAGGTACAGAGCAGGAACTCAGGCTGGCCATTAGGAAGCCTGATATGATTGAGTATACCCCTTCACAATCTGCGACTCACAAAATGGATTATAATGTAGTCGACATCAATATATTGGAAAACGCAAGAAAGTTTGTCCCAACAATGCTTATACTTGATGCAACATTTAGTGATTATTCAACATCTATTTCTTTGTGCATCCAAAGGCCACAATTGCTAGTTGCTCTCGATTTTCTGCTTGCTATTGTTGAGTTTTTTGTGCCAACAATTCGTGTAATGTCGCACGAAGAGAATGCTAACTCTGCGCCTTTTGTGGATTCTCTCATACTTGACCAACCGATTTTCTATCAACCCTGTACTGAATTCTCTCTCTCTCCACAAAGACCCATGGTTGCCGATGATGAAAAATATGACCTTTTTATATACGACGGACAAGGTGGAATTTTGTATCTAAAAGATAGATCGGGATTAAATCTTAGTTCTCCAAGTACGGAAGCTTTAGTTTATGTGGGGACTGGAAAGAAACTGCAATTTAGAAATGTTACTATCAAGGTAAGTCCTTCATGGTTTTGGTTTGAATATTTAAATTTAAGTATTTGATTGCATTCCAACTTAGGTCTTTGTCTTTTTCTTGTTACTGCAGAATGGACTGTACTTAGATTCGTGCATTCTACTAGGATCAAATAGTAGCTATTCAGCCTCTGAGAAAGATAATGTCTTTTTGGAGGCAGAAAATGGAACCTCTTTACTTCATTCTTCCGAAGAAATTATTAATGAAGCTGCAGCACAAAATGTTGCTGCTAACAGACCTACAGAGTTGATTTTTGAATTACAGGTGTGACATGTACTTGCCTTGTACTTTATTAATAATCAATGATGATAGTTCTTTATTTTGTTTCTTAACTTAGGATTTGTCTTTGATATGTGGCTAAGTTGAAAATTTGGAATTTTTATTTTAGATATGTTTTAAGCAATAATTGTGGGCAAAAGGGGAATAAAAAATTGTAAGGCACAAAGTAGGGACCTAACAAGTGATTAAGATTTCATTAGACTTCCCAAAAACACGCACTAATTTTGGGTGTAACAATAAGATATAGTTTCTTCTCCTCCTCGTCTCACTTCTTTCTCTATTTTAGTTTTTATTAATAGTTAATCTTGTTCAAGGAATGGCGTCATAGACTTCAATTTTTTTAAGGAATACACCAACACAACTTTAGTGGATTTTCAATACCACCAGAGGCTGAGGGGGGTTCGGATTCCCCAACCGTATATATATAATCAAAATTGCGAGAACAATAGGAAATATGGCATTAACTTGACCAAAGGCAATGAAATGCAACAAATGAAGAAAATGAATATGAGGGGAGGCACTGCTTCCAATACAAAAAAAGTAAGTGCGAAAAGAGCTAATGTCCTCTAACAATTAGGGCTGTAAGCAAAAACCGCGAAACCGGAAAACCGAACCGAAACCGCAATTTTGCAACCGGCGGTTTGGTGCCCCGTGGACCCGTCAACGAAATG